CTATTATTTACCATCTTATAAAAACTAAATAAGCGTTATGCGTTTCTATCATGCAGTTTACTTTTTAACAAATATAAACTAGATAAATTAATGTACCATGAAAAATTATATTTTACTGAAATAATTACTTTTAAATACACAAGACCAATACAAACTATCTCCTTTTTCATAGTATTAAACTTTAAATTTTCAAAAATCCAGGTAAAAATAAAATAAATGAATTTTTAATTGAATTTGAATTTTATTTGATTGTTTTCAACGGGTATTGTAGTTGATTGCGTGTACTCTCGTGATGTCGTACGCCGATCCTACGGACATTGAGGCCAATAATAATTCGATAACAATAAATTGCTCGGGCCTGAAGAAGTGCAAAAAGTGCGTCGAACAGGGATCGTGGCTTTGGTCTCTGGAACGCCAGGCGTGTTCGCGGACTACGGAACTCCGCTATTGCTGACCGTACACACGGAGACAGCCTGTCCTTGTGTGTCGGCGATCTCAACGGCGACATACGTGACTCATCTGCCATACGTTTACACTGTAAAGGTGTCCAACGACTTGACCGGGTTCATGAAATTTCTCGAACAGACACAAGTGTCGTGTGTCATGTATAACGGATATAACGCGCCCCGCCGCGGTGTATGGTGACGTCATCCGTTGCGCGACCATGAACCAATCTGATCTGGGCTTCGACCAACAGATGATAATGACCTACAACTGTTACATGATTTTCGGCGAAGGTGACACAATACTTCGGATGGACGACGGCATAGACAGTTACTTCACTGTGTATGACGAAACCGACACGGCCAACGGGCAGACCAAAGTTGTGTAACCTGTCTCTGGGACGTGGGCCAGTTCGCGTACTATTACAATTGGTATTCCAGCCGGAACTTTGGTACAGGCCGGTTTAAGTTCTACGTCGGTTACAGCGACACTAATCACAAGGCTGTTATGCCGGTCAACGACAGCATTTCGGCCATAGTGCCGGCAACATCCGGGTGCAACGACGTGCGTATCCAGTCCGTAGAACCAATGTCCGCTTTGTGGACGGGTGGCCAGCAAATTAAGCTGACTGTCAACAACTACGTGAGCTTGGCCGACTATGCTGCCGAAGTCAAAGTGATCGTGGCCGGACGTGACTGCGTGCGACCGATGGCAGTGGATCGTAGGACCGGCATAGTCACGTGCCTGCTGACCCCTCCCGCCCAGGATTACGTGGGACCACAGACTGATGAACGCGGCCCGGTACTAATCACTTACAGGTCATCTTTGCTAACGGTCGAGTCAGCGCAAACGTTCCGGTTCGTCTATCCCGAGATCACTGACTTAAGCCCGTCATGCTGCCCGCTGACCTGTGGCACGCTGCTCACGGTTCGTGGACAATATCTGGACGCCGGAAGTCTCATGACCATAATGGTGGCCGTGGGCCAGAGTGTGCCATCGTTGGTACCGTGTGAACTGATCGCCCGGCACAGCAACCGTATCAAGTGCCCGACTGGCCCATCAAACAGGCCCGAGGCCGGCAACGTTAGCGTGGTGTTCGACAAGACGCTGCGTATCCAAAATAGTACAGGTGATCCGCTCATGTTTATCTACACCACTGGGCCTACCCTGTCCACTGGTCAACAGTTCAGAGGAATGGCATCCGGTGGCATTACTGTGCCGGTCCGTGGAACCGGTTTTGCCTACGTCAGTGACGCAACGATGTATGTGGACCGCGATGGTGTCCGCTATGTCGCTCCCAGTCACTGCCAACATATCAACGACAAGTACATGGTCTGTGGTACTCCGAAACTTTACGGGCCGAAAGCTGGCGCCTTACCGGAACGTTTAAATTTCGGGTTCCACATTCGACACGCCTATGGTCATGTTTCCCACATAGGTACCACCACCTTCGGTCACCGACGGGTATGTGGCTCACCCCTACCCTTTGTTAGAGGACTTTTTCGTGCTGGCCGCCGGCAGGTCCGCACTCATCAATGGACTGGATTTGGGCCATGGTTTGTGTTTTAGTAAACTATTGTATGTTTTCATATGTTTAACTATTGTCTATTGGTATATTTATGGCTACTTCTAGTAGATACCTAAAGTATCTTCAGTATACCTATTCATTTGAGCATAAAGGCTGTACAAACTACTAAATGAAAAAATATAAGTATAATAAATGTTATTTTAGTTTAGTATTATTATTATAAAGTGAATAGATATAATTTCAGTATTATAGGTATTACATTTTACGATTCATTGCCATTGGCGATCTTTTTTGATTCTTATCATCATCATTCTTAATTTGTATTCATATTGACTATTGCTAAGATGATAATATTTTTATTTTATTTTTAATTCATAATCTATACATAATCAAATAAAAATGTTTAATCTACGCTTATTATTATTATTATTATTTAATTACACTCAAAAAAATAAAGTAAATGTTTACAATAATTTAATAAAGACCGTTTATAATTTGTTTTAGGTATCTACCTAATGTAATTTAAGCTATTTAAGTCAAACACTAGACCGAGTAAAAAATTGTGACTTTTTAAAAATAAATCACCAGCATGCGAATTGACTTTGGTAAGCTGGTAAGCTTTTGGCTAGAGTAGTTGCTCATATTCAACTACAGTAGAAACCGTTTATAATAACACTGGTTGAAATGAAATATTGGGTGAAAACTACTGAAAAGACCTTAGGACTTTGATTAAATGTCCCGGCAAAACTCCTAAATTGTATGTATTAATTTGTATAGATTATAATGACGTCTATGTAATTAGTATACGGATGTTATGACGTTTATTTTTGGTTATATTGGAAAAATAGCGAACTTTGTATGACTTTGAATAACGTAAATCCAAAGATAAATTTCGAAGATTTAGAAAAAAATAGAGGTTGATTTTTATTCAAACAAAGTTAAATCTAAAATAGCAGATTTTTTAAAATTGTAATTGAATTAATTAATTTAAAAATGTACATAAATGTTTTTGTCTTTACTTTTTTGTACATTTCTAAAACTCGAAACTTTAAGTACTTGATCAGAAACATTGTGAATAGTATTTTGTATCTACTTACTACGCAGACATTAACGCACAAAAATAAAAGTCCATGCTCTATGCTCTAGTTCAGCGTTTCTCAACCAGGGGGTCGTGACCCCCAGGGGGGTCGCAAACACCTTGACTTGGGGCCGCGTAGGTCAAAAAATTATAAAACGCTAATTTACAAAATGTACCTTTTTATTTAAATATTTAAGACTTTTTATTGAAAAACAAAAATTAAAATGATAATAATAAAATTATCCCGATAAAGACATACATAGATATGGTATTTATAAATTGATATTTAAAATGTTATATTTTGTTTAGTTAATGATAGGATATTTTAATTGTTCAAATTTTTTCCTAATATAGATGGAGGGGGGGGGGTCACGAAGTGATTGACCATATTTTATACTTATTTTGGGGGTCGTGACACTAAAAAGGTTGAGAAACGATGCTCTAGTTAATCAAATATACATTTTTACACAGAGACTGCTTGGCCATGAAGGACCCTAGTCCTTAGAGATCTGTGTTATAGATTCTAGGGTCCTTGACCCTTGATTGCAAAATGTAACACTATACTAAATACACTAAATTTTAACTAAATGATTAACTCTAGTATAATATAATATAATAATGATATAATATTAGAAACAATTAAAATTACTTGTGTATAATAAACTAATATTAATTTTTAAAGATAATTTTGAAGTGAAAAAAAATAGTTTGAATTAAATTAAATTATTTAATTAATGTTCATTGACCTAATATTTATAATAAAATAATAGAAATATTGCTGGGATTCATATTAAAAAATACATTAATTATCAAATAGATAAAACCCCTTGAATACAGTGTTACAGTAAACTGGGTACTAGCTATCTATAGGAGATTATTGATCCAATAGTCTAGTTTCATGTCCCGAAAATTATGATTCAAAAATATATTGTATATATTTCTATGTTATATGGGTAGCCCGGTAGGTAGTTAAATTATAGTCATTATCTAAAAATATCTAAAAATCAAAATGATAAAATATTCAAAACAACTTAATGAATACGTCAACTGTAATAAAGTGTAATTTTAAAAATATTACCTAATGACATTTTTAAAACTACCTGGTATATTTTGATTTGGATAGGACAAAAACCCTTTTTACCTTATGAGGAAATGTAATTCCTCTCTGTTAATTGGGTCCCGGGAAAAAAATGTTAGTTCGTTCATTACATTTTTTTAATATCTAATAATTTTTATTAGAAATCAAATTTTATAATTATGGTATGAATTGTATGAATTAATAAAATCTTATGGTATAAATGGAGGCTGTGGCCAAGTATAGGTACCTAAGTGGTTTATTTACCTACTATCATTTTTCCCCGGTACTCATTTTATAGCTTTCAAAATTATCGTTGATCCAATTTACCTTCAGCCCCTTCAGGCAACGCTGTTTGTTTAAATGTATAGTAACAAAAACCACAGATAACTTTAAAAAGGAAAAATCGTATCGCTTGCCTATTATTGCACTTGGGACCTGATTCCTTATCAATACACTTTTATTTCTTCCACGAATATCTTGATTAATAATCTCATTAAACATGGGATTGATTTCAAAGTGTTCGACTGTTTTTTGGAGGGGGGATGTGATCCACTTAAGGTTATTTCATGGTATAGTGAGAGGTATCCGTTTCAGGAAGAACATAGTAGGATAGTAAAATATCGTTTATGGTTCGGGTCACGATAAGGGTAAAGTCCTCTCTTTGTCCATGGTTCGAGCCAGTGCAACACCATGGCAATATAATATCAATAACAGTATGTCCACCTGTTGCATATTGTACTAACATTAATCGGTCTGGCCGTCTCAAAAAGGTACAATCATACTGTGTCTTTATATGTGTCGGAGTCCTGAAGTAATGTATCCTGATAACCTATAAACTAACCTTATTTTCATTCGGTTCTCATTTCCTAACAATTGGCAGTCGTAAAAGCACGTGAGTAAATGTTATTCGTTGAAATAAGTATTAATATTAATTAGACTTGTGACTAATTATATTTAAAAGGTAAATTAACTAACGTATTTTTACATATTATTATCTAGTTTCATTAAACGTTCAACAGGTGTATAGTATATACACATTATAATTAGTGCCTGTAAACAATTTGTATAATAAATTAAATAATGCCTTTTGATCTTTATTTATAAAAGCTAATATTAAGATGATTTAGTTTGATATTTTGAAAGCGTTTTTATTAGCTTTCAAAATAATTGGCTTATAGCTAGAAAGGTGCTACATATTTCTACTTACTTTTATTTGGTTATTTATTTTTATATTAAGTAAATAATAGTACTTCCTATAACATTAGGCCTAGGTATTGAGAAATATATTCATGTTTTTTGTATTCAATTCTTGTTGTTTTTGATGAAAAAAAAATTTAATGCACAGGGACTAGTGTGAGCTGTTAAAGAGGTGTGCTACCGGAATCACTTTGAGAACACTGAATAGGCAATCTTGACTAATCGTAGAACTACCTTGGTGTTATTGACATTGTGGTTAAACATTACACTATTAAATAAAGGATTACTACAAAACTGCCTCGTAAGTGATATATTTACTAGAAGTTAAAAAAAATAGATTAGTTGATTCCTTCTTAAATAATGTAAACATTTTACAATAAGATTAATAAAAATATCCCATTTAGTAGATAGGTATAGGTACAAAATTCAAATATAATTTTTAGTGATTTGATATCAAATAATAAATTATTACTAATTATTAATTTATTTTCCAGAAAATGGTATTATTTTTCATAAAATATATGTGTTTATTGGTTTGTAAATTAAACCAATATGTTTATTATTATAGGTAGGCATTTGATGAATAAAATACATTATTTGCTTGTTTAATATATTTTAATATGATTCCAATTTTTTATTTAGTTACATAATATGAAATAACTATAAAATGAAAAATAACATTTTTTATGAATTTTTAAAATTCATGTTATTTACCTTGTTTCAAATAAAAAAAATATGTATGCATTTTTTATATTCAGTTTTGAGAATTTAGCTTCATCAAATTTGCTATAGTACTTTTGTTCTATGATATCATATTATGTATTTCAATATGAATAATCAAGTTATGCTACTCAGATATTCTATATAATTTTTAACATTTGCAAATGACTAAGTTATGCTAAGTATATATCTTAATGACTTCATAGTAATAATAGTTAATAATAATTAGTAGGTACCTATTCATTGATAATATATTTTGTTATTTTTCAATTTGTTGGATTAAGTATTAAAGTTGTATGATGTGTTAAAATCATAGTCTATGACTCAAAGGAATATATTTAATTAAATATTTTAATACCAAATTATTATCTAGTATGTGATTTAAAATTAAATGATTGTTAACACTTGTCATTCACTATGCCTACCTACCTATTGAACCTATTGTACCTATTTGGTTAAAGTTTTGCATAATTAATTTAGTAAATTAATTAATTTTACTAAATAAAAAAAATGAAATATTGAAAGAAGATCTTTTAGTGTTCATAATTTTTTTTTTTTATTACAGTTTAATTTTCAATTCACTAACATTTTTGCTGATAAATTTATTATATATTACACTGGTTAGGTACAAACGGAATAAACATGAGAACTTTACACCAAGAAGAACAAATTCATGTCATTGATAATGAAGTGACTGTTGAAGAAATAATTAAGGATATAGTTGGAACAAAAGTAATTATTACATACTTTGTTATTTTCTGATGATACACTAAATTGTATTTAGTTATATGATTTGTATACATTTTTTTTCTGTAGGACATATCGGATCCATTTTATATTTTTGATGTCGGTGATCTTGTGAATAAAGCAATAATTTGGCAGCAAACATTACCACGTGTAAAACCTTTTTATGGTGAGTTTGGATGAATACTTTATTTATTTGTGTTTTCATATTTAATATTTAAGATAATATAATTAATATGAACCTACTATATAGAATGCCAGTAGTAATATATATGTCGTAGGCCGTATGGGAAATTAGTTTTTTTGCAAAAAGACTAGGGTCTTTGCAATGGTGTAGCCCGCTTGTGAATTACTTATTATTTTTCCAAACAGCCTTCTGTTTTTTAGGCTCATTGCATACAGACTAACAGCAGTTAGGCATTTTAAGGACTACAATCATAATAACCATTTAAATTATATTATTTTAAGGGTTATCAATAATAACACAGTACATTATAATATGTATATAACTATTATATATTATTAACTAAAAAAAAATATGTATATATACTTGTTTTTGATAAAAACCATTTATATATCGAGCTTTAGATTAAGACAAATTTTTCAAATATCATTCTTTCTATTATCATTCTTAAAACTATATTTGTAATATTACAATTATTTGCATTATTCGGCCTGGGCTGAATTAGTTTTTTAGAAAAAGTGACGGTACTGTATGAAGATATTTGATAATCCAATTTCTTTCACCATAGTCACTCTTTTGCTGATTATCTTTGTGTAGAGACCTCATTTGTTCACTTTGGCAAATAGTCAAATTCGAGTTTATCCAAAAACTCTTACACTTATCATCAGTTCATCATTTTGATTTTGATTTTAAAATAGAAGTTACATCCTATGTATCATTGAGTTGTAATACTCAAAGATCAATTTTAGTAAAAGAGTTAACTATCCTTTGATACTGAATACAATATCTACTTTCATGGTAGATATTTAATATTTAACATTTGATACACCAGTTCATCACCAATGGCATTATCTTCGGGGGCATTACAAATTAAAGCTTTTTACAATCTAGATAATATAATTTACTTAGTTCACAATAGATCAATTTTATTTTGATCTACAGAGTTAATACATTTTATTTTCTAGTCTAAATTAATTAATTCAGATTTTAACAATTTATTTTCAATTTGTAAATTATTAAATGATTATAGTTGGCTATCCAATGATTTTCTTAAATCAGTGAAATTTTTTCTTAGACCATTAATTTTTTGTTTATTTTCCCAAACCACTATCATGTTTTTCATCAATGGATTACAGTAACTTCATAACTGAATACATTGGTCATTGAATGATCAGTGCATATGTTGGAAGAACTTTCAACTTGTTGTCTTTTTGATCAGCATGTCGATTTGTCTCAGAACTTCTACAGCTGACGTATTATTTATTTATTTATCATTAAATAATTACTATACGTGCGATAAAATACTAACATACAGAAAACTCGTTTACGTGCTATGGTAGACTCAAATATACTTATGTACTCGTGTTCAAAATATTATGTGTATTATAAGACTTGTTAAAATATATAACATAAACATAATATTATGAGTATATAATTAGTTTTAATTTCACTATTATTTACATTTTAAATTCAATATTATGTTGTACTTATTTGTGTTTAAAAATTAATTAAAAAATATATTTCAGCTGTAAAATGCAACGACAATTTCTTCGTGCTAGAAACTTTGGCTGCGTATGGAACAAATTTTGGTTGTGCTTCCAAAGTAATGATCATTAAAAAAATACATACACTTTACTCTAATATTAATTGAAGGATTATAATTATTAAATTATTAAAATTATTTCATTAAGGCCGAGATCAAAAAAATGTTGGACTTGGGAGTGGATCCGTCACGCATAATATTTGCTAATCCAGCAAAAATGGCTTCACATATTAAATATGCGAAGAGCAAAGGTGTTGATCTAACAACATTTGATAATGAACTAGAATTGTACAAAATAAAATCTATACATCCATCCTGCAAGTAAGTTACAAACACCTAACTCAAAACACAATGTTAATATTTTGTTTTTTTTTTTAGCTTGGTTATACAAATTCGTTGTGATGCAACCGAAGTACAGTGTCCCCTTGGTATCAAATTTGGGTGTGATCCTCAAACTGAAGCACCAGCGTTAATGGCAATGGCACATGATTTAGATTTGAATATAGTTGGAGTGAGTTTTCATGTTGGTTCAGGATGCAATGAACCAGCTGCCTTCCGAAGAGCAATTGCTGCTTCAGCAGTCATTTTCAAATATGCTCAGGAGTTAGGTTTTAAGAATATGCATTTATTAAACATTGGTGGAGGATTTCCTGGAAATAGAAATACTTCAACTTTCACCACAGAAGTATGAATCTTGTTAAAAAAAACAATTTATAATTTGATTTTTAATTCAATTTTAAACATATATTTTAGATTAGAGACATAATTAATGATGCTCTCAATGAATGGTTCCCTCCAAATAATGGAGTGACCGTCATAGCAGAGCCTGGAAGATATTTTGTGGCTTCAGCATTTACACTTTCGACAAAAATCCATTCCATTAAAAACCGTACGAATGATGAAAGGCATATCATGTATTTCATTAACGATGGAGTGTATGGTTCTTTCAATAGTATTCTCTATGATCATTCGGTTGTTGAGCCCAAACCTTTATATGTGAGTTGGATAACATTTAATTGCCTATTATTTAGTTTACAATAAACTTATTTTAACATTACTACTTTTAGGATTATTCAAGCAGTCGTCCAATTTACGAGAGTTCCATCTGGGGTCCTACTTGTGATGGCTTAGATAAAGTAGTTGATTGTGCGAACATGCCACTGCTAGGATTGGGTGATTGGATTACTTTTGAAAACATGGGAGCTTATACAATACCTGCAGCTAGCACATTTAATGGATTCTCCCTTCCCAAGGTCTTTGCTATTGCCAAACAAAGAATTTGGTTAGTTTCAAGTCTCATAGAGCGTTGATTATTTTTAATCTAATGATATTATAATTATTTCTTCAGGGATATGTTGAAAAATTTAATGCCCATAACTGAAGAGCATTTCACAACTGTGCCCATTGTTGCAACTATCAAAATGTTACGACCTGAATCCGATGAAGATGATACATGGGATGAAAATATTTTGTTGGATAACAGATGATATACACAATATTTCCTTATCTAGATAATTTTTTTTTTACTTAGCTCTAAGTTTCTATTTTTTTAATTATTTAAATAGCTGATTCTCCATTTTGCTTGTTTAATATTATTAATATTATCATTGTTCATATTAAAACCAGCTAAATTGAGTAAAAATGTAACTTCTTATAAATATGATTATTTTTATTTATCCCTAAGGACATAATATTCCGCAAAAACTAAAAATATATATTATAATATACATTACATATTTATATAATAGGTACATACATTAAATGATCTACTTAATGTAAGCTTTGCTTGTGCTGAAGGTAATGAGTTACAGTTTTATTAATATACACATAGGCGGATAGTTACTTTTTTTACCGGGATATATTTGTTAGGGCCACATATACTTAGCGCCTATATATTGTGTATACAAATTTTAACTTCTTTTGAGTTTTTTCATTGGTACAAATCTAGATCCATTTTTTTTTTTTATATCTGAAGCCGCACTTTCGAAATTTTGTTTATACATAATTATTAATTATCATATATATTATTTATGAAGAGGTTTCTAATACTGATAGTCGTTTAAAGTAATTGTGTAGGGTGTGATTCGAGACAAAGAAAGGTGCGCTTATGATTAAACGAAGAGTTTTATTTTGAACAACTTGTATTTTATTAATGTTGAATTTTTTTGCTTAACTCCAAATTTGGATGCCATAAGTTCAAATCGGTTTTAGTAGGCTTTTGTACAAGATTAGCTTGGTACTGATTGAGAGTTTGGATTTAGAGTTTAAGAAGTAGTTAAGAGAATGAAGGCTAGAGCTTAGCTCAATTTTGGTGGTGTGAATATAGTGATTCCACGTTTATCTTTTGTCTCAGTTAACACCAAGGTATTTTGTGGTAAGTGAAGTGGGAATTTGGATGTTGTTGAAAGTGGTTTGAGGACATATGCCTTGTTAAAGTGTGAAAGTTATGCGTGATGTTATTGAAGCATGATTGAAGCTGTAAGTAGATTTTCGAGAGTTTAAATAATCGCTTTGTCATCAGCGTATTCTGCAACAAAGGTATTAGTGGAAGTAGGCTAGTCCGAAATAAATATGTTGAATAGCAGAGGGGCTGCAATTGCATCTTGGGGAACTCCGGCTTGAATTTCGGTGCTGTCAGATAAAGAAGAGCGGTATCGTACAGCGAACTGGCGCTCGTGAAGGTATGATTTAAAAAATAGGTAAAACGTGGGTGGTAGATTTTCTTTAGTTTGTAAAGGACACCATCGTGCCACACACGGTCGAAGGCCTGTGTGACATTGAGGAAAACTGCTGTACAGTATTTTTTTTTCTCTCCAATGTTGATGCAATTGAATCTGTAGTCCTGTTTAATTGGTGAATTGTGGAATGCCGATTGATGGAGAATGGATGTGGTGTCGAAAATTGTTTTGCAGTTTTCGTACTTATCCAGGTCTACAAAGAAGAAAGGGAGAGGTTTCTTTGTGAGGCGCTGTTTGATGTTAACTACTTGTAATATTGAAAGGTTGACGTTTTCCAAGGAGGATTTTATTTCTTCACATTATGTAGATGGTTGGAGGTCTGAAGGGGTTTTCACTTTGTGTTTGGTAGGTGTGAAATTGTGGTTTTTTGGGGGCAGTCAAAAAGTGAATTATTTGATGAAAGCCATCCGAGGTGTTGGTTTGGACTTTGGTGTGTTTCTGAGTGGATTTGCAATGAAAACCGTTTTATCCAACGAGATTAATAAGTGCTTTAATTAATGTGTTGTAATCGAGTTTTTGATTGGCAATGAAGGTTGGAGGTATCTGATCTTTTTTGGGAGGTATATTTGATGTGTCCATGTTTGTGGATTCATTATGAGTTTGAGTAATTTAACGGTTAGGTTAACGGTTTCTTCTGTGCCGTTTGTGTTGTTTAAGTCAAAAATGTTTGAGTCTCGAAGTGCGGCAAATCGATTTGGAGAAGAAAATTGAGATTGGGTCGGAGTGTTGTTTGTGTTGTTTTTGCTTCCTCGAGGTGTTCTGGGAGAGCGGAAATCATCTTGGTCTGTGGAGGCCGGTACTATTATGTGATTTTTTATTTTAATTTTAGGAATTGTTTTGTTTCGTTGGCTAGAATAATTATAAAATGGTTATAAATGTGATACGTATAAATGTAGGTTTGCGTGGTTTGATAATGTGGTTAATTAGTTGCTTACATCTCTTTTCACCATGACCGGGACGGGAGATAAGGTAGCGATAAGCCTGCGGATAGCGCCGCGCTAGGCACGATGTTACGTAACGTTGTAATTGCATTACCTTATGTGAATTCTTACAGGTTAATTAAAAATTCCTTGATAGTCAGTTTTTCTCGGAGGTTTGGACCTCTCGGAAGCTGAGAGTAGTATGCACGGATCGGTGGTACTTAGACTACGTTGGTATCTCATTACGGAACACATGTGCACGTGACGGCTATCCACGGCGGACTCCTTCTAAATTTATAATATTAAATTAATAAGTTATATTCATCATGAGTAAATAGTATTTAATTATTCAATCATGATCATTAGTCCATTTATATCAGTTGTTAAATAAATATACTTATAAACCTACCTACTATAAACGGAATCTAAGTATTCCAGAAGTCATAAAAATACTATTATAAAATTTAACTTTTAGATTTAATTTGTGTTAAACATCAAAATATAAACCGTATTCATTATTAATTTATAAAAATGACGAAGTTTAGTGTAGATGTCAACAGAGCAGGATATGCAAGGTATCGGCCCACCAAGTTTTACAATTTTAACAGGCCCTAAAAAAGTAAACGGCCAATTTTCCAAAAAAAAAAAGGCATTAATAGCTATCATATTATAATAATCACATTATATACAAGTAAATGGACATTAATTGGGGGAGGGGGGGGGGGTGGTTAAGCTGCTTAGTATTAGTTACAATGTTTTTTATTTTAGTTTTTAATATATTTATACGTATTTATTTCACTACCACATAATATAACACGAAAAATTTTGGGGGGGGGGGGGGGATTCACCAGATGAAGCCTTGATCATACAAAATACAATATAAATTATACATATTATATTAAGCAGTTGACATAGATAAATAATAAGTATATATATTTATATATATATAAATATGTTATAGGAACATAAAAAAACCTTATCATACTAGTAATTTTGGAAACTTATCTAACATACAATAATTAATAAATATTAATTTAAAAATTAAGTGTCTGACAGTTGAGAACTTTTTGTTTACACTTTATCAATGATACTTTTATTGTCTAAAGAAATCAAATCATCTTTCTCTACGAACATAATTAAGAATGTTTCCAATTTTGATTGAGACAAATAGTTTCCAAGTCGATTTAATACATATTTTAATTTAGAAAATGTAGTTTCACACCATACTTGTGTACATGATAACGTTAATACAAATGTATACATTAAATGTACAGAGTTATATGCAGATGAATGTAAATTATATTTTTACAATATTTTATAGCAACAACCTATGGCATTTTGGCAAGATTTTTTACCAATGCATTTACCATATCTATCTTGATCGACATTTTCAATTACGGCGTCTTCATCAATATTATGGTTACTGTCTTCAATTTACACATCGATAAGTGTAAGTTTGGGCCATTTTCTAATAAAATCTTGCATCTCAGAATGTAATTTACCTGCAGTGATTTCTGAATTGAAATGTGCTAGTTTTGAACTCATCCAGCTAAAGGTAGTCTCTGGCAAGTTCTCCTTAAAATAACTTGGATCCAAAAGTGATACTTCTGTATACAAATCACTATGACTTACAAAACAATTAGGTATTTAAAGTTGATACTACATGATCGTATACCAGATTAAATACCTGAGTTTTACAATGAGTGGTGGTGGAATTTTCTAGTGTTTTTTCACCAGACATAGACTTTTTTTCTAAACCTTTTTCCGGAAGACAATTTTCAACTGTATAGTCCATATTGTTTTTAATAAATTCATCAATGGCCCAGTCGATAGTGAATTTGTATTATCTACTACTTCATCAACATTTTTGGATTCTTCACTTAGAAAACTAATAGAATATATTGCCATTGTATATGCTTGAATCACAAAAATTTCTTTGCATTGTAAATAAATTGATACAGGTGAAGTAGTAATAAATATTTATAAACAAATATGAGCAGTTAGTATTGTTTCAAATTTTAAAAGTTCATCAATAAATGCTTTAGCTTTAAATCTTGTATCTTAATTGCCTAAACTTAGTTGATTTTTATATTACACTTTAATCATGTAAAGTGTAGCCGCTGGGGTACTCCTTTTATCAAGTAATGAAGTAACTCATGTCAAATTATTAATACTTAGCTCATATTCTAATTGTAAAAAATCTATTAACAGATTGTATATATTCTACTAAAAAATAAAAAAAATAAAAATATATTTCATGAAGCGTGTGTACTATGTATCATTATTCATTTATGTGTGAGTGCTGTTAGTCGTTACTTGTATTAGCCGATAATAATGGAAAACCCGTAGATTTATAATCGTCAATCGCGATAATAAAATAAATAATAAGCTGGTAAGTGGATGTCATTCTGTTGTACACTAGGTGTCTAAGCGGTCGCAGTAATGGATGGTATTAAATTTGAATTCAATAACAAATCGTACATGAAAAACGATTTTGAGCAACACTCTAGGATGTTTTATATTGCAATTACTTATTATTGATATCGATATGGTATAGGTAGAATTAAAATTATTCTTAGATTACCAGTGATGCTGGAAAAATATTAAATATACCAATGTAAAAATGAGCTATTTTGGAACCGAATTACAACAAAATGATAACTATTATTCTTTGTGTTAATACTTAATATGTAATTTTGTCCAAATTTGAACTTAAAATGTCTGTAAAAAATAACTGTAACCTACTCATATATTTTTTAGATTTCTTAGTTACGAAAAAAACTACTTAAGCGGAACCTTGTTTTAAATTTTCAATCCTAAGCGGCTTAGCTATAAAAATTGAAAATTTTATATATTTTCAACTACAAAATCATTTTCAATTTTCAATTTTATAAATGTTGTCAACATTTGAACTTTAAATGCTTATAAAAAAAATTGTGCCTATGTATTTAAATATTTTTCAAATTCTATTGTAACAGTAGGTATATCAAGTCTTGTGTTAAATTTTCATGCTTTTTGACCAACCAATAACATTTTATTGACATCTATAAAAAAAAAATGAAAAATGAAAATATCCGTCAATAGCATAAAACGAGTCAAAATATTTTGAAAATTTTATCAAGTATATGAATTGACGAAATAAACATTATTAGTGTAAATTTCTAATGTCTACAGTAATTCGTTTTTGAATTACATCAAAATAAGAAAATCGCTACAAGGCAAATCGAATGAATATCCAATGTTATAAAATATAAATATTTCAACTTCAAACGATCATAAAAATTTAATTTGACTTTCCGGTAGAATTTTTTTTTTGTTAAAGGTAGACCAACTTGTAAGAAATCTTGTATTAAATTTTCTTAGAATCTTAGATATAAAAAAAAAATTTTTTTGAATTTCTAACTAAATATTATTTGCTTATTTTCGTATTCTTACGAATTTTGTCAAAGTTCTAAGTTTAAACGCTCATAAAAAATTATTATGGATTTACGCTCAACTTTGTTTTAAATTTCCATTAACAACAACTTACAAGGAACCTTGTTTTACATTTACAAATTTTTTGACGTGGCGAAATTTTTTTTTATCGGCTTAAGTTTAAAAAAATTAAATAATTATTGAAAATTTCATATGCCTATACAAACAGTTCAACACAAGTCAAAATATTTTGAAAATTGTATGGTGTATAGAAAAAATGCGAACACAAATATTCAGTGAAAATGTCATGTATCTATGGTAATTTCTTTATAGTTACACTAAAAACTAAAATCGATTTTTTCAAAAACTGGTTTTGCATAAAAATTCTCGTTTTTCCTTAATTTTTTGTTGGTTTTTCTATTGCTTTTGAAAACTATTGGGAATTTTAAATTTTGACTTTCTGAACCCACCAACTAGATTCACTTTTCTACCAGATAAGTTGCTGTTGAAGAAAATCAAATCACTTTTACTGCAAGAAACCATGAGGGCAGACACACACACAAAAAAAAATAAGTATAAAAATACACATCATTGTAAAATCAATACATTCAACGCTCCGCTCAGAACCTAAAATAAGTATAATATACATGTAAATAGTAACTTATTGTACTATCAATTATTTATATGATTATATTCTTTTAATACTTTATAGCATGGGTTGTTAACTGTGGTCTGTGGAGTATTTAATATTCATATTTTATTGTATACAGAGTTTGGGCCTTTGGGATATTCAAATATCTTCGGCCATATACTACTAAGCTGGTCCAAATGTTAAGCGGCCCACCGAGTTGAACTCGGTAACTCACCGGGTCTATGCGGCCCTGGATGCCAATTTTAACAAGCGTATAATTGCCTACAAGTACCACTAACATATGCTTTGTACTGTACAAATTTTACGAACTAGTAACTACTTAAATACTACACGAAATATATTAAATTTATCAAAGCATAATTCATTATCCTAGATATTCCTGGATAAGGATAACTAGTACTTACAAAATAATTTACATTAAATAACGAAATATTGTATCTTAATCCATGCCGCTTAGGACGATTTTATAAACAGAGTTTTATTCTTACACTATCTATTACTATGTAGGTAGTCAGTATTTAATATTTATGTTATTAATTCATAAACGACTTAAGTATAACTAATATTATATTTTTTTCATTGCAGTGGCCGGACTTAATATGTTTTTTTTTTTTGAAAGAGTGATAGTGTTTCATTAATATTCCCTCTCTAAATTCTCTCTTATGAATTCTGTTAAAGGTCCTGGTTCAAAATCGTTTAATTGTGCTCACACTGACGTATAGCCCGGTCAGCATTCATCCATGTCAGCTCATACTTATTCATAGTACCTACGTAATTTTGATCTTGATTTTAATAAAGTAATGACTTCTGAATTATTACTGAGACTAATGAATAACAGTCGATTATTGGACGAAGGAGTACCTACAGAAGTGCTGCATACTCTTAGTTGATAAATTAATTTTCATATTAATATATAGTAGAGAATACATTTTTAAACTGACGAGTCAGTTGTCACTATTTATTGTCATGGCTCTCTGAAATATTAAAAAATATAACATTGCGTGATCTAGAAAATCTATCATACACTTCATTTACATAATTATAGTTTTGATTAAATTGATAGAATCAATCTGTTCAACATAATTACGTAAATCAGGCATATGTCAAACATGCAGCCCTATTTTGTATGGCCAAAAGCTACTAATACTAACTGACAATTAAATTTCCAAGAAAATTAAGAGTTATACAATTTTCATTCCGTGTCATAATTATTATGTTTGAGTTTACGTAATTATGTTACTTTTCTGTTTTATCTTCAGATAAACTGTAATCGAATAAGTTTTATTGTTAGTTTTATATTTATAATTTTTATGTGCAGCCCACATAGTAAACTATTCAATATTTTGACATCCAGTTAATACTTTGAGATGTAGTACTTTGATGTAATACTTTGAACCTATGACATGTCTGAAGACTGACGTAGATATCATTCAACTAGGTTTTTATTAAATCATTTTCTGTTTTAAATCACCCGGTTAATGAACTATTCAAGTTTTGCGAAGTTTTTCTTAAAATATGAATACGACCAAACTTAATAATTGTCGTAAAAAAATATTAAGCCTATATTCGAGTTACGTTTAATTCAACTAATTTCGAATACATTTATAGTAAAAAAAAATGGTGACAATAGTGGGTATCGCTATAGTAATTGTTGAGCATATCATTATAATAATGGATGTGTTATAATTGAATTCGATGATAAATCATTGTATACGATAAACGATTCTGAACTAAGGCGGTCTGTCATCCTATATTAGTAACGGTTTGTGTTTATAATAGTATCTATTGCTATTAAAATAATTTGTTTGAGTATTAGAAATTAATACATTAGTACAGTATTATATGTTTTTAATTCGGAAAAAAGAACATTTTATTATCTATATGGATACAAACTGAAGTATTTTGAAAGTATTTAAAATATACTTGTTAAAAAGTATTTGAAATACTGGAAAAACATTTAAATACAAGTATTTATTAATACTTAACAAGACTGGATACTGGCCACAGGAATACATGGTACACTGCACAACTTAACGGCCACACAGTGCGCCAAACGGCGAAGAGCATAATATTATACAGTATATTATGCCATAATACAGTATTAGGTAGGTATATTATTATTATATTCATTTTTTGTGTGGCGCCTAAACTAATTTACGTACCTACAATAATTCGTAGTGCACGTGACTGGTGAGCCGCCACGTCGCGTCGTACGACACAAACCAGAAAATACCATAAAACGTAATAGGTACGAGAAATAAAAAAGTTTCACTCCCATCATGGTCTGCCATTCTGTCCGCACAACGGTGACACGTCATGCCGCCTCCGCCGCCGTATGCCGATTATGACTGTAGTACTATACGAGTATTATGACGGAGTGCGGTGACGCGGAGAACGGACCAGACAGAAGCAGTAGAGTCGTGCCGTCCGGGAGCAATAATTAGTGGTGTTGTACAACAACTGTGTCACAGGCGTAGGTACGGAGTTGTGCACCGTTCCAGTATCACGCGAAACGTTCCGCACCACACGTCGGTCGACCGAAAACCTTGGATATTTTTTCATTTCCGTGTCGAATGATAATAATAATTGCCCACTTCCTCTTTTGCACATTCTCTCACTCCAACTCACTGATAACGATACGCGTTTCTCCGTATCCAATACATCAGACACAATAAATAATAATAATAATAATAATAATAACGTAAAATATATTAATATTAATTATTAATTTCTCGCGACGATGTCGATGTGTAAATGAAACGGTGCGGGCATTGTTCGAGTTATCGCGGATCGAATCTTCTCCGATTTCGTCGTTTTCATAATTTCGCGTTGGCGGTCTTATCCGTCAAATCGCCACCATGGTAGTCTGCTGTTCGTGTCACTGTAGCTGAGTGTAGAAAGTGCGACACCAACAATTTTTGTGCCGACTAGTTTGGTGGCTGATCGACGACCGACGTTACGTCTCGCCGTGTCGTCGGACGACATGATGCGTATGCCGGGCCAGTGACGCCGGTCCGGTGACCGTCACTAGCCGTGATCCATCGCTCGGTGCCCGTAGCTATTGATGTGTTTGCACGTCATGATGTCATCGAGTACAAACCGAATGATACAGCCTAGGAACCTGGCTTCGATATTGATGAAATTACATGGTGCCTTTGCCGAAGCCATTACATCACCAAAAGCATCCATTGATAAGCGCACACTAGAGAAGACATGGAAACTAATGGACAAGGTTGTGAAACTGTGTCAACATTCCAAGATGAACCTGAAGAACTCACCACCGTTCATACTTGATATACTGCCAGACACCTATCAGCGGCTCAGGTTCATTTATACACAGTATGAAAATGACCTTTCAGAGCTGTACAATAATGAGCATTTCAATGTCTTCATTTTGAATGTGATACGAAAATGCAAACAAGCCATAAAATTGTTCAAAGAGGGCAAGGAAAAAATGTATGATGAAAATTCACATTATAGGAGAAATTTGACCAAATTGAGTTTAGTGTTCAGCCATATGCTCAGTGAGCTCAAAGCGTTATTTCCAAATCATAGATTTGCTGGTGATAAGTTTAGGATAACGAAAAGTGATGCTGCAGAATTTTGGAGATCTAACTTTGGAATGAGGTAAGATACTAATGTACCATTACATAACTTTTAAATCATTCACTGCCAATAATGAAAAGGTTAATGTTAGAAAAATGTAGAGCAAAATTTTTATGATAATGGTAGTGATTTTAATTTATAATTACCTACCTATAATAATTTTACAATAATATCAATACAATAATATATAGGTAGTGTTTAAATCATAAAATACTTTTAACCATGTGTAAGAAGTATTCTGTGCAGTATTTTTAATGCCAGGTATTTTCACGGTCTTTTAAAATTTAAATATTAACTCATTTTCTGAAACTAAGCATTTTAGTTTTTATAAAGCCATAATATATGGTACCTACCTACCTTCTCATATTTGTACTATAAATTTTAAATTTATATACGGATGAAAGTGTTGCTGATAAGTGATTTATTTCCCTCAACTAACAACTTTAAAATTCAAAAATTTAACAAAAATCAAAAATATGATTGTTGTACTTACAAATAACAAAAATTTTATTTATCTGACAAAACAGAAAATAGTATATATAAACCTTTTACGTACCAATATTAGTTGTTAAAGTGTAGCTCTGAATGTAGTTGTGTTCTAAGGTATGTTTAGATTGTTTAATATGTTTTTAATGAGTAGGTAGGTTGCTACTCGTATATGTTACGGGCAAAGTGGAAAATTTGGACAATGTATACAATGCCCGGGCATTGTATACAGTGACCGGGTATTGTATACAATGTCCGAGGTATATTGGGTAATGTAAATTGTGAAGTATTTATACAAAAAATCTGCATAATATATTTTGTTAGATGATCCTGATAAACTAATATAAACTTATAATCGCCATCTGATTGTGCTTGCATGTCGATCAAGTCAATTTGACAGCGAGAATTCATTTCAAAAGATGTGATTGGGTTTACAACCAACCCTTTTTTAGCTGTACTTCCCTTTTTTTTACACGATTCGCAATTATTTAAGTATAACATTATTACATCTCTTGTTATATTTTTGTACTTTTTATTAATCTCGTGTTCCATTATATTTCTACCTCCATGTCCAATTGACAAATGAACTTCATGTATAATATCATATAACTGAACATTATGCACATAATATTTTATTTCATTACCTTTAAATACATTTAAAATGTAATTTTTTTAAAAAAAATTGTAATACTCTTATAAAAATAACCATATAAACAAGTATAATTAAATTAGTATATAATATCATTGATTAGGTATAATAATATTATGCAGATTATTTGTATAAATACTTCACAATTTACATTGCCCAATATACCTCGGGCATTGTATACATTGTCCGAATTTTCCACTTTGCCCGTAACATATGTACTGATATATACTCACCTAAATAGGTAGGTATAAAATATGAATATCTTATAAGTCATGGGTACATTTTGCATTATATCAATAGCTTGTCATGTTAGAATAATAAAATGCTTCTATGTAGTATTCAATGTAGGACATGTTGTAACCTGTTGTAACATGTCTCAATGTTAATTATTAAATACTATTCAATATTTTAGGTTGGTACATTAATACAATTAATAAAAAAGTATGAAGTATGGAATAATACAAAAAAATCAGTCAAAATCGACCATTGTAGACTGATGTTGACGTATAATATGTTATTTTCCTATAGGTAGAGCTAATAAAAAATAATTGTGATTTCACTCCAAGAACATATATACATTTTAATATTAGTGTTCATTGTTAACACATGTTAATGTTATAAGATAATATTTATAATTTTTGTCTTACATATTATTGTAAGGTATCTGAATTGACACAGTTAATGTTTTTAAGTAAAATAAAGTGTCTGTTATACGACTTTATTAATGAAATAACTTAGGTAGAACCATTCTCGGGGTTTTCGTAAATAAAAAATAATTCAATCGATAAAAGATTTTTTGATTCTTAGGATCATTATTATTGTAATGAAAACCCAACAAAGATAATATTCTGTCCCCAAAAAAATTCTGTATCATGTTGGAAACATAACTTATCAAATCTGTAGTGCTGAAAAATCCTAAAACAAATGACCACCAGATATTTAGTTACATTTAGTCAAATATTAATATCTTTCAATGTTGACAGTGGTCGTGCATTATTTCATGTAATAATTTATTGTAGACATTGCATGCTAACTTAAATGTATAAGTATAGGTATTGATAAAAAGTGTAAAAAAATAAGAAGAATATAATACATTTAGAATTAAAAAGTTAATAGCTTACCACTTTTAATCTGGCTTTTGACTGTTTGGAAAAATGTTGTTTTTAGTTATACAAAAATTAGACAAGGCAAGTATAAGTATCATTATAAAAATAGGTAACTACTTAGAGTGAACATATTTAACAATGTTTAACCTCTACAATTTGGTGACTAATTTGGGTATCTTTTATTTAAAAATATTTGTTGAACTATTTTTCTAAAAAAACAAGTAGCATAAATCTATACCTTTTTTATTTTTATCAGTATCAGGCTTATACAGAAATCATGAACCATGTTTCTGTATACTAAAAAAATAATAAAGTACCTACCTATATTTATTAAAACAAGACAAAATCATCTTAACTACTAAATTTTGAATAATTGTCTTAAATTCATTAATATGTGTTTTATATTCCACTTGGAAAAAATTTCGCATTTTTATATCAAACTTAAGTTAAAAGCTCAGTAAAAAGTTGTAAATTAAACCAGTTTTACATGAGAAAGGTGAATTTGAATTTTTAAATTTAAATTTGAAGACCTTTTAATTAATATTTATAGGTATTACACAAATATAGATAGTATAATAATGTATTTATATTATTCAATATCACAAATTTCAAAAGGTTTCAAAAATCATGAATATTTTTAATTTAATATATAGGTAATTGTAAGTTCATAATTAAACTTAACGAAAAAAATAAAATGCTTAGTAAACTAATAAAGTACAGCTTTGATTCAAAATAAAAATATAAAATATTTTGACTAACAATACTTGTTAGATTTAATTTTTGGTGGACCATAGATCCGCATGAATAAAAATATTTTGTGAATCTGTAACTCCTTATGTACCGTATATCTGCATGGTCCAAAAAAACAAACACACCATGCTCTGCATTCTAAAAATATTTTAAATACCTAAAGTCCGTATGCCATAAAACTGATATAATGGATACTATTGTTATCAATATATTTATTTTCCGTGTAATGTTTTATTTGATAAATTGAGTTCTCTGAACATTCTCTAACTATAGTAGTTGCTTAAAATAAAAGAGCTTACAAAATAATTGGTGGATTTCCATATTTCAAATTATAGTTTGCTATTAATATTATTTTGTATATGAGACATTGATTCTCAAAAAATAAATAAAATTATTAAGAACCATTTTAAAATTATAAAATCAAAAATAAATTTCAAAGTTATTAAAAAAATGTTATGTTTTAATAGGATTTTCATAAGTAATAAAAAAAATCTTCATTTATCTTAACCTGTTTGTTTTATAAGCATTTGTAGGTACTGACTTATATTTTAAATAACTGATTTTGTAATGTTTTAGATCTCCCATTAAAAATTTGATAGCAATGATTAATGTTTCATGTAAATAATAGTTTGTTTTATTGTATGTAATATTCAAATGATTTATTTTGTTTTCAAATATAGCAATATAAATAATAAGCTCTACATTTTTAATAATGTATTTTTAAAAAACTGCACATTTTTTTAAATATTTTACATAAAACATTTAAAAATTAATGTAATATATATTTTGTCAACTTGAAATGATAATAAATGTTTAAATTTATTTTAGTTTAAATTGTTTGTATTTATTTTAAGCAAATTTTTTTTTATTATTTTGGTACGTGCTTACAATGTGTTATTACGGTTTATGTTAAGATTGTCCAATGTATTAGCCTATCTTTACATTAATTTTATAAGTAAAGTAAATCATTGTGATGTAACTGATTTATATATTATTATAAATTATTATTTTTTTTGTATAGCACTGTAGTTCCTTGGAAACTATTTCGTAGTGCCCTTCATGACGTCCATCCAATTGTTAGTGGATTAGAAGCTATGGCGCTCAAATCAACAATAGATTTAACATGTAATGATTACATATCAAATTTTGAGTTTGATGTTTTTACCAGGTAAATTAATGAATTAGTTAATCTATCTATTATTTATAACATTTACAACTGAGAAATTTTATTATTGTTTAGATTGTTTCAACCTTGGCCAACTTTATTGAGAAACTGGAAAATATTAGCTGTTACACATCCAGGATATGTTGCATTTTTAACATATGATGAAGTTAAAGCTCGCCTAGAAAAATTTATCACCCGACCAGGGAGGTTTGTAATTTTATATGTAACTATACACATAATTTAATGCTTTTAATTGATTTTATCTATAAATAAACTTTATTAGTTTGGTTGTTAATGCTTAATTTGATACTCAATACTTATAATAATGAGATAAAATTACACAATACTAATAAGTATACATTTATACTTTAATAAATAAATCATATAATTGATTTTTAATGTTTCACTTTTTACCGAGCACCAGTATCCATCTCTAAAATAATTGGTTATAGGTATTAGTTTCAAAAAATCAAATAAATTTTTATACCTATACACCTCAACATAAAAAATAAAATTTAAAATTGATTTCAGAAAATGTTTGTATTTATAATCTTATGTAGACTTTCTAGAAAATGTTCTATAAAATATGGTACATTACCGCTCAAAAAGCTCAAGCTTCAAAGTCAAACAAAAGAAGATGACGGATTATTTTGTTTAGTGTGTATGTTTGTATAAAAATATGTACACACATTGTTAAATATGAAAAATTTTCTGTTTACCGCTATAGTCTCGGTTCTGACAGTGACAGTTAATCAAGTTTCTACTGTATATCCAAAACTGTAAGAAATAAGATGAAAAAAAAAAAATGTTAGATGTATCAGTCCAAGTTGTGTTGAGTTTTAAATTCAAACAAAAATACTACACACAATTAGTTGTTAATATTGTTAAAATCAGTACACAATCTTAATGATATTTTAATAAAGTAAAATGATTATTTGTATTTCATACATTTATTGTTGAAAGTATACATCTAGTTTAATAGTTATTATTCTTAAGTTAATAAACTTGAATAACTAAAGTTATTAAACTAATACATAGTTATTAATTATTTTATTGGTTTGTTATTAGTTACGTATTCCGTCTAAGTTGCACACGGCTAGGGCAATGGGCTATTGGTTACGTAACAACAGAAGGTGAAATATTACAGACCATTCCTCAAAATAAATCTTTATGTCAAGCATTATTAGATGGTGCACGTGAAGGATTGTAAGTAGATTTCCACAAAGGAACAAATATGTTTTTAATTATTTACAAGATAAATTGTATTTTTTAATGTGTTGTGTTTGAAAAATTTTCTTATTTTTACCCATAGAATTAAACTTTAAATGTATTTGTATTATTATTTACTGTGTCTTGATTGAACTTTTGTAAGGCTTTTATTTCCATATTGTTAAAAATTTGTGTTTGTAAAAAAAACTGTTTATTAAACAATGTTTTAATTTTCTTCAGTTATCTTTATCCGGATGGACAAAAAGGAAATCCAGATCTATCAAATGCCGTGGAACAAAGTCCGGAAAATCATATTAGAGTTACTCACGAACAATACGAAATGTACTGTGAAATGGGATCCACTTTCCAAATATGTAAAATATGCACAGAAAACGACAAGGACGTTCGGATTGAGCCATGTGGTCATCTTTTGTGCACTCCATGTTTAAACTCTTGGATGGTAAGTCGTTATATACAGTGCGTTATACCTATATCCAGTGAATTTGAATTAATAGTGCTATTCTGGTTACATTAAATTAATAATTATATTATTGGTTTTTTTTTATTAGGAGTCCGATGGCCAAGGTTGTCCGTATTGTCGGGCCGAGATCAAAGGTACAGAACATGTTGTAGTGGACCCATTTGACCCAAAGAGAGTCAAATATAAAAGTGTTCCCATCATGCCCATCGTAGTGCAACATTCTGACGATGAAGAAGATGATGAAGATGATGAGGTGGTGAAATAACACACAGTGTCGTCGTCATCGGCGACATTTTTCCAGCAGGGAAAGTATAATAGTAATAAATAATAATTAAAGAAAAAAGTCGTTGAGACTATTTTACTGTGATATCACTTTGTAGACATTTTTCAATGTGTACATTGAATATTTCGATTTAAATATAACTTAACAAAATTCCTATTGGCAATATGTATTGTCAATAAGGTGTATTTTTTCGTATGTGATAACTGATATGTCAAATATATTATTCAAATTAAATGTGATAGAAAATAAGAAGAGTAAAATTTATATATTAATTATATTTTTTAATCAATTCAATGACAGTAGGATATAATGCAATTGAGTATAGTGATTACATTTTAAGATACAATGTGATTGTGTGTTTTTTATATTTATTACAATATTTATAAATTTGCCCAACATTATTTTTTGAACCCTTTGATTTGAAGTCGATTTCCATACTATTATTTATTTGTTATTTTGTTAACTGGTATGTATTAATATGATTTATACATTTTTTTTAAATGTATTATATGGATACATCATTTGGTATTGATACATTTTAAACATTTTAAGAATTAAATAGATTTCTGCAATAAGAACAGCAATACTAATATATTTTTATTCTTTCAGTATAAATATTCTATTTTTTTATTTTAATTGTAATTTTTCATATACAATTTACGTATTTAAAAAGATGGCTGTATAATGTGACAATCGATTGTTGACTATACTATTTGCTTCTATTTATGTTATCCTTTCTAGAACATAGATAATAATTATTGCACTTATAATAGATCTAGCTTAAAATAAATATGAATACTTCAGCATTTTGCTCGATAAGATTTTTAATCATTGGGTTCATGGTAGATTTATATAACAATTGTATTATTATTCATTGGTCTTATATGTTTAGAAGTTGATTTCTAGTCTCCAAGCAATCTAGTCTAATTAAGAATTTGTATTTTTCGTTTATCCTATGTATGTATATATAGGTATAATAGATATAATAGGTATATAAATGCATATCTCTTAAATCTAAAACATTAAACCTTAAACATTTCTCGCGTAGTGATATTTTCTATTTTTTTATTGCATACAATTGTATGTATTTGTAATTTGTATTATATTATTGTCTCATTGTTGTTTGAGTGTTGTACATTTTCTCGATAATCTACCACAATTTGGTTGGAATCAATAAGCACTCTTCTGATAATGTGATGATTTTATAGAATGTTTAGTAGTTATATAATTTATAGAACTCATTTTGTCTTGTAATTGATATTTTCTTTATTTTTAATAAAGTTAATCAAAATCTTTGTCGATATAAAACTATGTACGTATCATTTTGTTATAAGAATTTCACCTAATATTTCTATAACAATCATGGTTTTTACTCTACTGTACACGGTAACCAATATTTTCATGAATTTTTTTAAACGTGTTTCAGTAAAATTTGATTTTCACTAATTTTCTTTACACATATTGTATACTTTATGACTTATACAAATATTTCTATTTTGACCAAATGTACATGTTATTGTACCAACATACACCTATATATGTATATAATATTAATGTTCTGTTTAAATTTTGAACTATGGCAAAGCTATACATTAAAATTAAAAATATTGTATAATATTATAGTTTTATCATTTAGATTTTAAATTAGTATGAAGGCAATAAGATGTACGACAATTATTATTAACTCTATTTATTTGTGAACAAACTAAAGTAACCTTTATTTTAGGGGCCTTAAATATTATTGTAATGTTACGAATACAGGGTAATGTAGTCTGCAAGAATTAATTTCTAGAGATGAATTCCAATATTATTATTATTATTATTATTAGTTGTAGAACAATTGTTGATTATTATATTTTTTATTGCCCATTGTGGCCAATTGACAATTATTTTTATTATTATTATTTTATTTTTAATTTTTATTGTATGTCAAGAAAAAAACATGTGTGATTTCATATTGTAATGATCTTTGAGCTTGAGTAAAGTAAATAAAATTAATCGGTGTACGTCAAAATAAACCACATAATTTGTGTTAGGTGTAAATTATAAGCAATACGTATATATATTCTGTATTTTAGTATTTATTTTATTCATATTCACTTTAGTTTGTACTGCTATCGTAATTTTTGTAACATATTATATATTTTTTTTATTTGTAAATAAACCAAATAGCTAATTATTAAATGTGTAATTATTATTATACATGGCAATTTCATAATTGTTGTATTGTGTTTTGAATCAATCTGCTCAATATACTTCATCCCCTATCTATAGCAGTAAGTAAGACGTAACCTAAGTTGTGTCAGTGGCGGCGTGAACTTTTTTTCCCATGCAGTAACTACCTTAAATAAGTACCTACCCACACATTATTTTTTTCACATTTTACACTTATTTTTTCACACATTTTAAGCGTAGATTGTATGTAACTATGAGAGTATAAATTATAAACTTGTCTAGCCATCTAAGTCTTGAAGACTGGAGTCATTGGGGTACCCACTCCCACTTTTGCATGAGGTAGCTGCCTCATAAAATAGCAATTCACTCCGCCACTGAGTGGTGTTGAGTAAAACAACTCTGTAACTAACCGAAAATTCAAGTTGTTAAAGGTTAACTCTTACATATTATACTATTTTTAATTGATATATTTCAATAAATATATTCACATTCACCGAATTATTTATAATAATAATAATAATAATAATTTATTATAGTGTTCAAAATATACCCTGCAGGTAATTAATAAAAATAAAGCTTAAGAGAACGCTACATAGATATTCGTTGTCTCCGTTTTACAAGTGCGTAATATAAGAAATTTACACTCAGCATATCATATTTAGCTCTGTTAGTATAAAAATTGGAAGGTGGACAATCGACTGATAACTAAAATACCGACAAGACAATCAATCAACCGACGACCAAAGTACTGGCAAGGTATTTATTTTCTTATTTTAAAAATGTATTTCTATTACGTTCTAATCTCCAATATTTTCGGTGTGAACCGCATTCAATTTTGTTTTCATTTTATTAAATAAAAGAGACATGTCACATGTGCCAATTTTCAAAATGTTCAGCAATCTATGACATAAGTTTCCGGTTAAATTATATTTAATTAGCCATTACTATTTATTATAAGAAGATTTTTATCATTATTTAATATTATTAGTTATTATTGTACATTTTTACAAAAAAAATGTATTATTATCATAGTCAATAATATACATTATGCGCAGATTTTTAAAATAATAATATAAATTAAATATCTTGTCGTTATTTTGGTTGTCGACCGATTGACACTGTCGGTTGATTGTCTTGTCGGTCGAATAGTTGTAGATCGGTTGACCCAGAACTTAAAAATTAAAGCGAATTGAGCTATTATGAAATTTGATGGTAAGAACGTTATCTCTGCTTTTATGTGGGCTTTTTTACGATAATTCAGTTTTGATGTGAGCTATGATCATTTTTAATTTACTCTATATTATGTACGAAAAACTTGCTAAAAACTTGGACTATTGTATAAACGCACATACAAACACATATAATGTTCTTACCATCAAGTTTCATAATAAGTGGATTCATTCAAATTGTTATACTAACGAAGCCAAACGTGATGTGCTGAGCGTGAATTTGCTATGTTACGCACTTAAATTCACTAAACCAGAGTTAATATTCAACAAGTTATGATTGTGTGGTATTATTCATTGTGCTTTATTTTTATTAATTACCTGCAATTGAATTGTTATTATATTATATTATGATATTAACTTATGTCAGTCTTACTGATAAATTCAATATATATACCTACTTATATAGGTATATTGAAATGTATTAATTTAAAATCAAAGATGTGATTCATATAAACCTAATTTCCACTTAACACGACATCACAGTTATAAGTTAACCTATTTCTCTCATAGGTAGATGAAATGTTTCTCTATTATGTTACGGCGGTATGCCGCAGTTGTGGTGATTTTGGATTCGGGATACTGTTGCGGTGCAATAATATAATATTTTAACGTGGAACGGTGGAGTCGCCACCTATGGCCAGTAATTTTTATTTTATTTGTAAATAGTGTAATTTTATAGTTTGATTATGGCTATGGTTATTGTTGTATTCATCTTCATCAATTTATTAACTGGGTGATTAAGTACAGTTATTACAAAAACAGTTGAAAACATTAAAAATATTTTTCAATATTTATTTTATTTTTCAATAGTTATTTTTACTTAGGTAAATTGCATGTTGTATAAAAATATAGATGGCCATTGAGGAAACTTCATTTCTTTTAAAACCCATCTATGGCCATGCTAGTGGTCATAGATGGATCATAAATGTTTCCTTCTATGGCCACGTAATAACTATTTTCTAATAAAAAGTGTTCCAAATTACAATGAATTAACACCAACTAAAGGAAAATCTATAAATACCCCTCCAAAAAGTTTTTTATATTCACCTTTTAAAGTAAAATTAGCATTAAAGACTATAAGTGACGGTAAATATTTTTGATATACCTCAATTTTTATAACTTATTGAATAGTTAACTTACTTAATGATATATTTTGATATTGGCATGAGTACAAGTAAAACTAGTCTATCATGTCCCTAGAACAACACTGAAGATAAGTGTGAAAAATCATCCGAAATCTTAATTGGCCATAGTGGAACAATATCAGTTTTAAGTGAGGAAACAATGTTGGTTCAGTGGATTTTGTCTCGTGCAAGGGTGGGTGGAATGTAAGTCGTGAAAGTGTCTTATCATCCGTCAAAAAAATTGTAAATGAGGCTAACATCAATGTGCTTTGTCCACAATCATCCAGGGAAAAAATGGTTTTATGGTTTCTTAAATAGACATAAAATGCTTTCTCCAAAACATGCAGATGATGTCAATTGAGCTAGGGGATCGGTTACTGAAGCCATAATTAAAAACTGGTTCAAAGAAGTATATGAATTGTTAAGTGAAGCCTTCACCGTGAAGGTGCTAGTTACTAGCAGCTAGTTTTTTTGAAAGAGCCAAATCTAATTTTCAATATGGATGAAACATGCTTCAACTAAGCACCCAAAGGAGATCTCATTATTGGAGCACTTGGGGAAAATGTATATGATGAGCGTACCAACTCGGACAAAGAAAATGTCACAATTTTATTCGGCACAAATGCATTAAGTAAATGGGCCCTTTACCTTACAATATTTAAATATGATAGAATTCCAGCAGCTCTTGCCAAAGCTGCACCATCTGGTTGGGACATTGGAAAATCAGAAACCGGTTGGATGACAGGGGATGACAGTTCTATTAATAATGAATACATAACAAATGTATTTCTACCATTTCTAAATGAAGCTAATATTCAGAGACCACTTATTGTTTTTTTTAGATGATCACAAATCCCATTTAAGCTCACATCTAAGTAATTTTAATGCTGATAGTGTTTACTACAGTGAATTCATTGTAAGAACTATTCCAATACATGAAACTACATCAAATATTGATGAGATAAAATCACACCTAATATTTATTGAAAATAACATAGATAAATTCGATGTTGAGCATGTAATGTAGTTCAAAAGAACATACAGAGGGAAAGTATGAACGGGATGGGAAAGTGGAAGCATCAATGTTGTACACTTTATGGTCAGCAATTTATGAAGACATAAATAAATAAGGGAAAGAAGATAAACCAAACTGATTATACTGCTGCAGTGTTTTCACAAGTATCAACATCACCAACTTTAGAAGATAAAAATGATACTTTAAACTCAAAAATGTAGTCGAATATATCATCAACTAGCCAAGCAAAAGAAACATAATTTTGTACAGAACCAAATATACTGGTATGTCCAGCCAAAAGGTCAGTAGCAACAGTGTTTAATGATATTATTAAGTGACCAGTACAACAGCAACCAAAATCAATTAGGAGAAAAAGAGTATGCTCCGAGTGTAATTACTAATTACATCTGATGAATGAATTGAGTTTCATGATATTAAAGCTTGTAAAAAATTAAAAAATGAGAAAAAAATAAAGTGAAAATTAGTATCAACGGAAAAAAGAAAACAACAAGAAATAAAACAAAACTAGAAGATAAAAAATAAAGCCAACAGTTGTTAAGGTAATTTCTGAAACAGAAGTAGATGTACAATACTTTGAAGCCCCTGATGAAGAACACACCGGATTTGTATTAGTTGAAAGTGATAATATATACATAGAAAAGTAAGATGAATTGGTTTACAAATTGCCATTGCCAGAGTTACATTTTAAGAATAAACATTATCTTTCTATTTTCCCTGGTATTGTTGATGTGTATGAAGATGAACAATTTAAATAAAACTGAGAACTTATGAGTATGTTTCTAATATATTTATATATACAATATATTTCTATTATAATATTCTAGTTTTACATTGTTAACATCCAATGTTTTAAGTTAATATATTTTTAAAGATTGTAATGTTTTTTATTATCTTCTAAAGATTACAAACTGTTTATTATTCTTTTTATAATGTTGTTTAAAAGTTGTTCATTTTATTTATATATTTATAACCGGGTCAGAGCTTTTTTTATTTACCAAGTGGTTAAGTAGACATTTATTTGTTTTTATTTGTATGCAAAATTTGGTTTTAATAACACATTTTATTTTTGGAAAATAAAAGTTTCTATCATATTTGTTTGCATTTAATTATTTCATTAATTAACATGTAGTATTTATCACAGTTAAAAAGGTATCAATAATTATTTTTTAGATAAATCAAATATACTTTTACATTGGCCATAAAGGGGTTAAAATGTTAAATGACTGGCCATAGATAGAGATCGTAGAACGAGAAAATGCAATTTTAAATTGTTAATAAAAAATGTTCATTCAATAATATTCTTAAGATTTTGAAATTCAAACCAAGTATTGCCAACATATCATGTATTTGTGGTTTAATTTGCAATTTTTTTCAAAAACCGTAGATAGATTAAATTAAATATCAAAAGAAAGAATTTCTTAAGGTGGCGTACGTTAGGTTATTGTAGTAAAACTCTTCTTAATGTAAGTGTTGTACCAATCTATATTATATATTCAATGAAAACACGGATAAATGTTTTGTTTAATATAACTTATAATATGCTTTGATCTATAATATATGATACGTTTCTACTGAGAAAATCGAACAGCGAACAGCGAAATAATATTTTAATGATTTATA